CCTTTCTACAAGTAACTGGAGTTGAGGCAATGGAAGATATTATTGCATGCTCAGTGTATTGTAGCATAGTATTTAAAAGTTTCCTGTTTCTGAATTCCAGCAGTGGATAACTCTTGTATTCTAGCACTGTTATTTTCCAGCCCCTCTCAGCTGTTCTCAGTTTCTCAGCAGGAGTTAACTGTTGTATTCCAGTACTGTTAATTTCCAGCCCTACACAGCTGTTCTGAGATTACCGGCAAGGAATAAATATTCTTTTACAGTACTTACTTGTATTTTCCAGCCCCTGCAAGCTGTTCTGTCATTTTTGATTTTCAGCTGGAGGTAACTGTTATTTCTAAGCACAATTATTTTCTGGCCCCTCTAGGCTGATTGGAGTTTTCCTGCTCAAGTTGACTGTTATTTTCTGTAAAACAGAATAATATACATAGGGACCCAGGCATGAAGTGAAGAAACCTTCCTTGGAAACCTTGGAAACAAGACAATGTTTTTAATGGCCAACAGTAATTCTGAACACAAAATTTAATAAATTTGACACCTGTGGAGTATATAGCATTGCTTATGAATGAGACAAGAATGTGCTTTTAAATTTCCATCATACCTGAATAATGTCTGTGTAAAATTTGAGCTCAAATGTAGTATTTTTAACTTATAAATCTACTCCTAGTAAGTGGCCCTGGCAACCTTAATCTTTACATGTAACTGCCAATAAAATAACCCTCCATCTTCATAAAGATCTAAGTAAGCTTTTAAGGCCTTCCTGTCATTTTTTTAAAGCATGGCCTCACAAACTTTTTCTTTTGGCTCCACCAATAAAAAACATTTAGGGAAAGTCAAATAATCAACAACCACAACTAGTACTTAAATACTAAGTTAGCAATTGACTGAGACACCATTAGCACCACAATAAAAAATGTAAGAACCCTCAACTGGCTGAAACTTGCATCATTCAGTTGCATACTATTCTTCCCACATTTCCTAATAAATTAACCTATATTTAGTGGATACCTCTATAACACAGACACTAGGGAAGGTTCTTAGAGAGGTTACCTTTAATACTTTTATAACTATAAAAGTAATAGCTTTCGCTGCAGTTTAAATTGATTTAATTTTTGAGATACAGTTAACTAATTCTTCACTTATCACACAACAGCTGTGCAAAGCATATCAATTGTAAATAACAAATGTGGAGAGTTACAAATTACTTTCAGTACTTTATAGTGCAAGCAATGTGTTCCTTACCACCATTTTTCAGTGTTTTCTTTCCATTTACAGACTCAAGTGGCTGTAATGAAAAAACAAATTCAAACAATTCTACCTCACTTCCTAAAGCAAGAAATCACAAGAATAAACAAGTGTAGAAACTTAGACATACTTAGGCTAGAACCCTAATTCAAAAATAAAAAAACTACCCCCAGCAAAAAAAAATGTACCACTGTCTTTGGTACCATCCTGTTCCTCCCCTATTTCCGTTTTTTTTTTTTTTCAACTTTTCTTTTCTATCAACTTTCAAACACATACCATGCTTCTTCTTGATGGGAAGAGGTTCCATAAAAAACCCAAATAACCAGAAAGATTACCAGCAAGATAGATAACCAAATGGATAACCAAATGAGTAGTGGTATCAAACTAAAGCTTGTAGCAATTCACCGACCTGACTATTACACCCTATTCTTTTTCCCCAGGTCTATGTGAACTAGATTTTGAGCACAGAATGTAATACCTCACCAAACATCTGCTAGGATGACTCACTTAAAAGTGTGCATGATTATCATCTCTTGCTGAGATAGCACACTGCACTTCAATGTTTTTATTACTACACATATAGGGGCTTTGGTAAGATTGTGGAAAGGAGGGAAAACATTTGAGCAGCTGGGAGGGACAAAAATGACAGTGTGGCAGCCATTTATTCCCACTTGGATAGCAAAGTCTGGGGAACCTTTCCCTGGAAATTTAAAAGTTTGGATGTCCATTTTAGGCCACTATTTCTCAAGTTGGCTAAAAATTATATCTGCTACAAGAGAGAGTGAGGGAGAGTGTTGACACTGATTTAATGAATAGAGTAGCTTTTACATAACAAACTATATAAACATTATATACATAGTAATGATGTCTCATAGATGATGTCTGTGTGGTCTTGTTTGATTTTTACCTTTGCCTTGCTCAAAAATATGAAATTGTGCCCTGGACAACATTAAATTTGGGGAACAGTGCTGTGATTTCTGACACAGTATATTTAAAGCAATTACTGATGGCAAAGGAATTAATTGGTACTTCAATGATGAATGTAGAGCACAGCAATCAATGTAAACCATCATACCAAAAAACATGGTGACTGGTACATTCACCTAGAACTCTTTGCACAAGAAAATCCTGGAACCACTCAAAAAGTCAAGCAGAAAAAATTGGAAAAATTTAAAATTTGCATACATAATGTTGTTGTTTTGCGAAATATTGCTTTCTACATGTGTCTTACCCTAAGAATAAAGGTAAAATTTACAGGCACCATCTATGTCTGTAAGTGGATTGAATCTATTGGGTAAACACCAGAAAAAATAATAATATTGATACAAATAGGCTGAGGGTTTAGTATAGGTATGCTGTGGTTTAGTTTTATCCTAAGTTTATTCTTTTACTTTTAAAAGAGGCCAAATTGATAGTGACATATCATCTCACCATAACTTAGGCTAGGAGCTAAATTTTATCTTTCTCTACACAAAATGCATTTTTCATTCACATCATTAACAAAATCAAAGGAAACTGATTTTTACACCAAGGACAAGCACAACAGATACCTTTCATCTGCACTTTTGTTTACTTTGCTTTGCTGCTGGTTCTCATCCATGCCTGTATGAATGATATTGAGTAAGGGTGAAAGGATTGGTATTTTCTTCACAAAGATAGTTGCAGAGAGTGTCTCCATTGATATATAGATTACCAGACACTCACAATGAACTCCAACAAGACCAGGTTCTTGCTAACAAGTGTAGGAGCAATAATTGCTAATAATGGGCAATAGTCTGTATTGAATTAAGTATTCATTTGTGCATGAATTAGTATTTATTTCATTTTAATGTTTGTAACACACAATTGAAAAAGTATGTAAAATGTGGTAACAAAATACATATCATTGTGGTATTCCTCATAATTTAGTTCAAGGGGCTTTATTCTAAATAGATCAAAAGAAAGAAAGTAGATAGATAAATAGAAAAGCACATATTATTAAGTGATGAGTAATTTTGCTGCAAATTTGTGCCCCTCTGGGTGAGCAAAGAGAATGATGACCCAACTGTTACTTGCTGCAGAGCGTTAGGAGCCAGCACCCTATCCTTTATAAGAGACCAGATCTTCATCATGTGTAAGCAGTTTGTAAGTTAACTTTCCAGGATATGTGAAGTTTAACATCGACCATACATCCTAGCTGAATTTTTGCGTAGCCCCATACATTTACAATGAATACATGTCTTCCACTGTACCCATAATAGCCACCAGTGTAGACACTATGAGACTGCTACATGCAACATAATACAAATTATTGAGGCTGGAAGAAAATCACAAGTTTTTGATCATTGAAACACCGAGAGCTGTCCTGGTTTTTAATCGACGTGTAATATCAAGTGTTGCATGTCCCAAACAAAATAAAAAAGTCAGTCCTCGACACAGAAGGATTCAATGAATCCAGGTATCATGCAGCTACATGAAATCTACTGGAATTTAGCACAAAACTTGAACGCGATCTTTGAAGAATGGTTGTAATATTTAAAATTTAAAAAAATACTAGCATGAAGTGCAACGAAAACCTTACCTTATTGTACTAGCTCCAACAGAAAAGTAAGGAAAGCCATGAGGCAATGTCAAATTCTCGTCTTCCAAGGCTTTCCAACGTATGGAAGGAAATTTCCCAAATACCTCGCACTTAAAAACGCAACCAGAATCTTACTCTTTCACCAATCCGAAGCGTCCCAAAAGGTGTCAAGGATAGCCCACGAAATTCTCAAACTTCGAGCGCGGAAATCTTAACGATCTTTTTACACTTTTGCTTTGCATCCCTCCCCTAGTTGGGAAGTGACACGCAGAAGACACGATCACAACGCACTTTGATTGGAAGAAGTAAAACTGCATTCTATTGGTTATAATGTGTGAGGACATAACCACAACGGAAGACACGACTGCAACGCTACATTGGACGAGCGGGAAGATGAGAGACCCTGGGAGCGAGGTTGAATTTACCTTCAATAGTGAGGACAGTGGACTACGGGACGGTGGATTAGAAAGTACTTCTAACAACGTCCTTTGTAGGTTAAAGGGGTACGATACTGGAATGCAGTTAAATGATAACCTTTATATACCGACACTTATCCGAGAATATTACGACAAAATGAAACAGACAGTTCATCAATATTATAGAGAATTACTCATGTAATAATATACATGGAAAAATTACTCAGTTCTGATTGGTTAAGATAAATGCAGTTTTCAGGTAATTCAGTGCAGAAGAGAGTTAATTCAGTGCAGAAGAGGGTTAATTCAGTGCAAAGAAAGAAACAAATAAGACATTCTGATTGGTCAATAATCAAAGAACTCACAGATAGCCAATCAAATGCGAGCTTTGGATGTCGCAACAAAATTTGAAAATTTGAAAATTTGCGAGCGAAACAATGGCCGGCGTTTTGAGTAGGCTTTCTTTTGCCACCGCAGCTGAAAAACAGCTTAGACAACAAAAACACTTTAAAAAGCACTACTTTTTGGTTGTTGGTTTGGAAAAAGTGGTGTTTAGAGAAGGGAATTGCCGAGGAAATCGAAAATTACGAGCCGACCCAGCTTAACACTTTGTTCGAGCGATCCAACGCCGAAATTAAAAACAAACATGGTTAAACCTCGGAAACGACGATTCCATTTCATCGAAAGTGATTCGGACACAGACTGAACAATTCCTTGAACTTTTTTGCACCTTAAAGATGTGAAGATATCACTGCATAATTTATTATTGTTTTCTCTTGTTTCTTACACGGTTGTTTTGACCGAACGCGCGGTTTGAATAAATTATTTTTGCACTTGATGCGCGCTTTGCTAATGTTTAATTATGATAAGCCAACTCGTATTTTTCCATGTATATTATTAACACGTAATCGCATGATTTTTCTCGTGCAATTTGGAATAAACAAGCACTTGTTAATTTTTTCAAAGACCACAAATTGCACCCGCCCTACGGGCTCGTGCAATTTTGTTAGTCTTTAAAAAAATCTACTCGTGCTTGTTTATTCCAAATTGCACTCGAAATCATGTGATTACCTATACAAATTAGGAGTTATACTTTGGTTACATGTTATATACTGCATGTCTGGGGGTAATTTCCTCATTTCATACATCTTTCAATTTTTCCTAAAATGTCTAGGAAGCTTGGGAGGAAAAAAGCCCCTTTTTGGCCTATTATAGCTCAACAAGAAACTAGGAATCTGCTTTTTAACCAACCCGATGATACAATTCTATTCTTGAATCTAGAGACACATCACTCTGCACTTAAGGAGGGGTTGGCTGCTAAGAAAAGTCTTTCCTCCAGAAACCATTAAAACTTCAGGATTTTGGGCAGCATAAACATCACACTGAATTCTGGTAGTTCTACAGTTGACTTCTTTCTGGACTCTTGAAATACAAATGTCATTGTTGATTCTTAATAAAGCAAAATCTTTTTCCTATATAATAAATCCTTTGCAATTCATAATGAACAGTTGGTGGAAGGAGGTACATCATTTTATTATTTATACCCTTTTATATCTCTAATAATCTTTCTAACTGATGATTTAAGTAAAGTTTCATTGACAAAATTTGACATAAACCTGTTGCCATTTCACTACCTACATTACCAAAGGCTTACTAACCTTAAAATTTTTTAAATCAATTTTTTAGAATATGGCTTTTTAATTTTAAACTAAACCCAAACACTAAACAGATCTGCATGTAGCAGAATTCATACATTGTATGTACAAAATTCTTGAATTGAATTTCATTCAAGTAATACAAAAAATGCAGAAATACACATTCAAATACATTTGTAAGTCAATAGATGAGAAATTATTGAAAAAAACTCCCTCTTTTTCTTCAAAAAAGTGGTGCTGGCAAACAATCTACTTTTCCATTTGTGATCAAAATATTTTCTTAGAAGAAAGAAGAGACTCAAACGAGACTTTTTTCCAAGCAACTTGCAAGGAATGTCATCAAAAAAATTTAACTAAATTATGTTAAGACCTGAACAGAAAAAGAAAGCTTATAGGTCACCAAATCAAGTTTGATTCATTTCCATATGAAATAAGCATGGAAATCGGTTGACCATATAAAAAAATTTTGAATTCAGGTTCTTTATACTGAAAAATGTCGAAAAATAAAAAGTTTCTTCCCCCTCCTTCAGAAAAAAATACTCCAATCTACTTGGAAACCCTGATGGTAGAAAATTGTGTAAAAATTACATTAAGTACAGGGTAATCGAAGGTTCTTTCAAGGATATAGAATGCCTAACATTGGTTAAATCAGTATCCCACTCATAGCTTAGCTGGTTGTTTTAAAAATTATAAATTACAAGCTTAGCTTTTAATTTAAAATTGTTAACACAAGCTAAGCTATGAGTGGTTCTATAAGTGTAGCTCTTAAGAAGTTAACTTTTTAAAAAGATTCAATAAGATCCAACTTCTATTTGTAAACATACTTCAGATCTACATCCACAGGCTTGAAGAACTGTTCTGATTTTGTCTTTTTGTATTTAAAAAATTAAATAATTTATTAATAACAAATGAGAATCTAAAGCCTCAAGATACTCTGAAGATATCATTTTGGGAACAAGAAGATGCCTGCAAAGTTAAAATATGATTTCATCAAATTACCCTTAAATGGTTACAGCTGCAGTCCTAATTACTAGGGAATGACACAGTACAAAATAACCATAGAAGCTTTTCACAAGCAAAGATAGCATGACATTTAGTGTCCTCTCAACAGTATGCAAACAATAAAGCTTGTTGATAAATCACTTTATTTAAGGAGGGACTGGCAGGAACAATCCCAACACACTAGAAGCTTTTCATAAGCAAAGATAGCATTATTTTGTTATCACAAATGCCACCAACATAATAAAATGTGCTCACACTATTTTTGTATATCATACCCACATGTCTAACACCATGTCATGATCACAACATACACAGAGTTGTTTATGGGCAAGCTTGCAAACAACATTCCTATGCTTAGATGGGGTTTTCCTATGTGCTTTCCTATGGTTTTCCTATTTCCAGTGATAGCCAACAGAGTGTAAAGGGGTAATGAAGAGAGTTGATTGCCAATTGATCGCCACTAATGTGGGGGGAGGGGGGGCAGGGGTGACAGAAGGGGAGGGGAAATGTTAAAAATACTACAGAGCCTTGTGGGGGGGAGGGGGGGGGGGAAATCAGGTAAATTTTAATGTGACACAACTAAAATCTTCTAACTACCCAAGAGATAAATAATAGCCGGTACCCAACCGATCAATCTGATCAAATGCTATTTGTCGGTCAGCTTATCATATTATTATGTTCTCAGACAATCAAATATTAGTAAGTATGTCCATTACCTACCGGAAGGCACTTGCGGGTTTGATTCGTTCACCAATGAGTATCAACATAAAACAAGAACTCTGGGTTCATACTGACTCTTCCAGCCACCGAAAACGTGGAGCAAAATCACCAAGTTAACCCCTCCGGCAAGAAAACATTTATTCACCCAGAACTTACGAAAAAGTAGAGAAAAATACAAACTAACCATTTAAAACACATTTTGGAACGGTCCGCCATGTAGCACGTGAGGAATGGATTACTGCAAGGAGTGCTGGGAGGAAAATACTCTCCTCTCCATGGGTCAGTAGCACTGAGAAGAGCGATAGGAGGTACAGATCACTGTTAATGAAAGTCGTTTTTCTTGGCGATTTTTGCAAGACCACGAGCCTATCAATGGGCTACTAAGAAGACCTTGGATTTTTATCATGGTTAAGAAAAGGGAGGGGAGGGAAAGGGACATCATCTTCTTTAATTTCATACCTAAGCCTTCCCCAGTGCACCCGGATACGTAGACCCCCAGCCCCCCTCCTCCAAACCCGTGAAGTCTAAGGTCAGAGCAAATATGAATTACCCAAAGAAAAAAGAGAACAGAAATTTGCCTGCAGAAAAGGAGCAATAAAGGATGACAGAAATGAAACTAATATGAGTTGAAAAAATGTGCACACCAAAACCAGAAAGAGGTGATATTCCTTTCAAACAGTTTATTATTCTTAAACATTCATTAACAGCATTGAACTAGTGCAAGGCTTTGGAATTTCATCCACTGCATGAAATAAAAAAAATAAGATTCTATATTAAAATTCTAATTCCTAATTAGTAAGTTCTGATGCTCCATGAAAATTTTATCTAAAATTATACACCCACAAAGTGACTCAACTGTTAACCTTTGCTTAAAAATGCCTATTTAGTCTCCACTACACAACAAAAAACACAGTAGTGTACACCAAATAAGTTTATTTAGGGAAGCCTTCCGAGAACCAACCCGAGGCACATATAGCCCAAGGCGTGCATACACACATTTTGAACTGATATACCATATACAATCCTGATATAAAGTCAATTCCTTACACATTCAAAATAGGTATACATTACTTACATGTACACTTCACCAAGTTGGGATTAACAGAGGTGGGCAACCGCTTACATGGACATTACTATGGTTATACGGAGGCCAGAAAAAACCTGCTAGAAAAAAACCCCTTTGGGGAAAAAATATGACAGGAAATCTGGGTAGGAACCATGGCCCACACTCAGAGCAGTTGGCAGCCCGTCCTACAAGGCTTCACAGTTAAAGAAAATAAGTTTTCAAACTAAAATAAATTTGTCATCAGCCAGAGGTGGACGGTTGGTTCTGAGGCCTAGATGGACGTCACGTGCTATACCACTGCATCATTACCCGTGATGCTCGGGCCTAAGGCCCGGGCCTTGTCATATCTTGTGCCGACAAAATATTTATTTCTGCCTTATTCGCAGACTCAACCGTCAGAAATACCATTTTCTATTATCCATCATATAAAAAAATTAAGTAATAGACTTATAGAATAACGTCTGATTATTATTACATCAATTCATACAAAAAAAATTTTAGTGAGACAACT